AAACTAAACTAAACTAAACTAAACTAAACTAAACTAAACTAAACTAAATCCTGTTTTTCTGGTGTTCTTTGACCATTAGGTTGAGTATAAATACGACAAAGAGAGCATGAAGGGCTGCGTGATCCCAGTGGCTGACGACAAATACACCCTCCTGTGCAAGAAGAATACCGACCTGGCCAGTGATGTAAGGTTTCCCTTTATTTTTTTCAATTTAAAGCTGCTTGAAATATGTTTATGTTTATGTTTATGTTTATGCATTTGGCAGACACCATCTTAGGTAGGACTCAGTTGCGGAGAGTGAGGTTCAAAGGGGTTTATTTTTATTTCGTGGTGTTTTCTATTCATTTATTTATGTTATTCTTACTACTCTCTCTTTTTTAATTGTCTATATACTTTTTATTCACATGTTTGTGTACGGTAAGAAGGAAGGATGTGGGTTATTACTGATCTGTAACATAATCTTGTAGGATTGGGAAGGGAGGGAATGAGTGGTTGTTGTTTTTGTAAAAAAAACGCACTCAAGAGAGTGGATGACAGGACAAGGTTCAAAAACAAGGCTGTGGCAAAACTATGAGCAAAGTAACAAGGCAAGATTACAAGACTGTGAAAAAAACATGGCTGTGACAAAAACATGAACAAAGTATCAAATAAGATAAACAAGGCTATGGCAAAAACATGGCTATGGTACAAAAAACAAGGCTGTGAAAAAACTATGAACAAAGTATCAAAGCTATAAAGTTAACGAGGCTGTGGCATGGCTGTGAAAAAACAAGGCTATGGACAAAAACAAGACTATGGCATGGTGCAAAAAACAAAACCTTACATGACGTGGGGAGACGAGAGACGAAACAAGAAATGACGAAAACGCACTGGCACAGGACATGGGGAACGAGGACTATTTAAACACATGAGGGAGGGGAACCCCAGGTGTACACAATAGGTAATCAAGAAACTTTTCATTGTTTGTCCTTGACCTTGTCACGTGAATAAAAAAATAAAAAAATAAATAAAAGAGGATTCAAGTAGATGGGAGCCGTACGCTTAACTCATTGACTGCCGGCCATTTTCAGAACAGAGTTTTTTGAGCATTTTGACTGATTTTTCAAGAACCACAGAATAGTTTGTGCTATGACTATGTAAACACCGAACACACCAAAAGAAAGAGTAGACTCTCTTCTTTCATCAGGAAAAAAAAATTGTTTCTACCTTATTCCGGTCTTTTTCGACGTGCGTCTCACCGGCGACATGTTCTCTCATAGCGAACCGTTACCTTTTTCTTATTTGCCTACAGTCTATGCTCATCTCCCATCAAAAGTGGCACTGCCACCTAGAGGGTCAATTTGTTACTACATACTCTGTCTAGAAGCCTGATATTTACGGACAAGCTTTAGCAGATCGTCCCCGAAGCCACTCGCATTGGAAAACATAAAAGACGTCTATAGACGTCTTTGGCAGTCAATGAGTTAAGCACTTTGTAGGCCAGAATCAGGGGCTTGAATTTGATACGGGCAGCCAGAGATAGTTCAGTGAACCTGTGGTGTGCTCCCCCTCTCCAGGTCAAGTACAAAGAGAAGTACGAGAAGGCGAAGGGCCACTACGTTCCCGTCATGGACACGCCTCAGATCCTTCACGCCAAGGCCGTGCGTGTGCTGTCGTCAGAGGTAAAAAAACGGCCGGCCGGGAGCTTCCGGGGTTTTACTTTTTAACTTTCCCTTTCTCTCCCTGTCCCCTTGTCTGCATGAATGAAAGTAAATTACATTTACTTTCATTCATGCACTGTGCTTAAACATGGGGTTGTGGAGATTTGGGTGGGTGTTTTTTTATGAAAATTGTATGCAAAATTTTCAAAAAGTGATCTTTGGGGTCCTTTCTGAGTCTGTGTATTGCTGTTGGTCATCAAATAAATATAAAAAATAAAAAAACGGCGGTTCACCTCCTGCCTCCGTTTCCCCCTCAGAGCAAATACAAGGAGGCCAGTAAGAAGAACATGCAGTCGGGCTCGTTCACCACCCTCGCCGAGACGAGGGACACCGCCCACAGCAAGCAGGTCAAGAAGCTGATCAGCGAGGTAAGATAAGATAAGATAAGATAAGATAAGATAAGATAAGATAAGATAAGAGCTTTATTGATCTCACAGTGGAGAAACTCACTGGTCACACATCGGTTAGAGTTCAAAAGGAGGAGAAGGTGCATAAAGTACAGCAAAAGCAAACAAATATACAAGGAAGCAACACAACACAGTAGAGATTTGGGTGATTAAAATATAACAAACGCCGGACGTCCCTGCTGGGAAACTGCCTTTTTTTTTAAACCCCCAAACGGGTTCTCACGCTGTCTTTATTCTGGCCACGCAGAAACAGTACAAAGCTAAGTTTGAGAAGGAGAAGGGCAAGTCTGTGTACAACAACATGACCGTTCCACCGGACGTTCAGCACGCCATCGACGTGGCCAAGAACCAGAGCAACGTGAGTCCGTCCTCTCTCTTTATCCCTTTAAAGCCCGATCCAAGAATAAAACAAAACAGAAATGTACTTTTTTTTTTGTTTGAATTCCTTATATTGCCTTTTAACAGAATATTTACTCTTCTAGGTCTCTTAGATGAGGAAAACCATTAAAAACATGCTTTTTTATTACAGAAAATGAGATAACTTACTCAGTTTTCTGTTAAAAAAGTGAAATATCGCCAGACTTTGCTGGGGGTTTTTTAAACGAGAAGCGCTTAACCCTTTAAAGCCTGATCCAAGAATAAAACAAAACAGAAAATTACCTTTTTTTGGTTTGAATTCCTTATTTGGCCTTTTAACTAAATATGTAAAATGACAACACAGAAATACATTTTTGATATGAATAATTTATTACTATGCGATAAGTCCAGATTATTTTTTGTGTAGTCTTCTGCCCCCTGTTATCAGGTATATCTGATTTTGTACAATAGGATTTTGAGCAAAGTTTTTACCATTAAATTATGCAAAAGGTGTCAGACGCAAAACATTTCAGAAACAGTATATATCAAATATGATACATTTGGCATTACAGGGTTAAAGCACGATCCAAGAAAAAATAGGAAGAATATTGGATTTTTTTAGTCTGAAGTCTTTCTTTGGCCCCTCAACATATGAAGAAAAAAAGCTGAAATTATTTTGATGAAATTAGCGTGCAATAAGTCAAAAATATATTTTCGTGCAAGAAAAATAGGAAGAATATTGGATTTCATGAAGTGAGAGCAACGTATCAAGCTGCTCCAAAGTAAAACAAAATCATAGAGCATTTTATACCAGCCTGAGTCTAAAATGAGACGTAAAGTTTGTCCTCCATTCTGCATTTGTATTAAACAATCCTCCAGAATTAGAAACAAAATATGAGGAGGACTTCTCTTAGACCTGGAAGGAGGAAAGGGCTTTTAAAACACTTAACCCTTTAAAGCCTGATCCAAGAAAAATAGGAAGAATATTGGTTTTTTTTAGTCTGAAGTCTTTCTTTGGCCCTTCAACAACATTTGAAGAAAAAAAAACTGAAATTATTTTTATCAAATTAGCATGCAATAAGTCAAAAATACATTTTCGTGCAAGAAAAATAGGAAGAATATTGGATTTTTTTTAGTCTGAAGTCTTTCTTTGGCCCCTCAACAACATATGAAGAAAAAAAACAGAAATTATTTTTATCAAATTAGCGTGCAATAAGTCAAATATATATGTTGGTGTAGTCTTCTACTGGCTGTTATCAGGTATATCTGAATGTGTACAACAGGGGTTTGAGCAAAGCTTTTACCACTGAATGATGCAAAAAGTCTCAGATCCAAAAGACTTCAGAAACCGTATGAATCAGATATGATACATTTGGCATTATGGGGTTATCCTGGGGCCAAACGGCTAAATGCACCTTCTGTTCTGGTCTGTTTTCCACTCCAGGTTGCCTACAAGAAAGACGCCAAAGCCAGCCTGCACTACACCAGCGTGGTGGACCGTCCTGATATCAAAAAGGCCACCCAGGCGGCCAAACTCATCAGCGATGTAAGCAGAGATCCAGAAAACTTATTTTGAAAGGAGTCAAA